TCCATTCAGAAACTGGTCTCAAGCACACATAAGACGTTTGTAAAACTTGACCAGTACTGGGCCATAGTGCAAATCTCGTACATTTCAAAGCATTGTAACAGTAATACCAGTGAGAATCTCTGACCTAGGTAGATTTGAGCTATAAATCAGAAACCAGCCCTGGCTGGTGTGGCTGTTGGTTGGGTGTTGTCCCGTGCACCAAATTGTCCCGTTCGATTCCCAGTCAGGGCACATGCCTGGGTTGTGGGCTTAATCCCAGGTCAGAGTCATGTTTCACCCTCACATCAGTGTTTCCCTCTCTCTCCAAAACTCAATAAAAGACCTTTAAAAAAACAAACACTGGTAACAGATAATTATAAAATCCCTAAGAGTTTTAAAAAAAATAGTTTTTAAATATCATGGGTCTAAGAAGGTGATATAATGGAAGTCATAAAATAGTTGTAACTGGATGATAATGAAAATACTAAGTATCAAAAGTTGTAGAATGCAGCCAAAGTTGTACTTGGATGGAGATTTATAGCCTTAGAAAACTAGAAAAGCTGAAAATTAGTAGGGTAAGCATCATTCTAATTAGAAAAAGAAAGCAGAGGCAGGAGGAAGATGTTCCACAGCAGGCCCAGACCATGGAGTAGCTGCGCAGCGAGCAGCTCCTCAAGAAGGACTATGTCAAGTTTCTGCACGACCATGGTTCAGGTTCGTTTGTTGCAGAACATAAATTATTAGGAAACATTAAAAATGTGGCTAAGATAGTTAACAAGGACCATTTGGTTACAGCCTATAACCATCTTTTTAAAAGTAAGCGTTTCAAGGATCCTGCAAGTATAAGTGTCGGAGCAGGTGAAAAATGTGAAGCTTAATAAAGAGAAACCCAAAGAAACCAAATCTGAAGAGACTCTGAATGAGGGTCCACCAAAATATACAAAATCTGTTCTTAAAAAAGGGTATAAAACCAGCTTCCCCCAAAAGGGAGATGTGTGCTGCTGGTACACAGGGACACTACAGGTCGGAACTGTTGATACCAGTATTCAGACGAGTTCAAAGAGGGGAAGCACCAGGCCTTTGGGTTTCAAGGTCGGAAGAGGCAAAGCCGTCAGACGCCGGGAGGAAGCGCTCACCTGGGAGTACAGGGAAAGAGGTTGCTTGGAACCAGAATGGGCGTATGGAGAGAAAGGACGGCCTGATGCCAAAGTCCCACCAAATGCAAACTCACTTTGAAGTGGAATCAGTGGATATTGATTGAAATAGCAGTGCTTCCGATCTAAAGACATCAGCAATGGCCTTGAAGAAAGCTGCGTGACTAATTACAGCCGGTTACTGCTATAATGGAAGAGTCAGCTGGAAAACTGAAGGAACTGTGTTAGAACGCACTTACTCTCTCCCCACATTTTAAGGAGTGTGATGCGTTATAAACCCCTGAAGTTTAAAATGTTTTACTGTAGCTGTTAAAGTCCTGGTTAAGGAGAACTTTTTACCTCATGTTGTAAACTAAAAGGCTGGATAAAAATTTACCCAATGCCAAAAATAAATAAAAATAAAAATTAGAAAACTAATAGGGGGAAGTGCAAAAGAAGGAAATAATAAGAATAAGAGCAGAATTAATGAAATGGAAAATTTACAGTAGAAAAAATGAAAGCCAAAGATCGGTTTCTTAAGTGGTCTAGTAAAATGGACAGACCTCTGGTGAGACTGGTAACAGAAAAGAGCATGCACGGTCGGTAGAGTGAAAGGGAGAAAGAGAAACCGCTGTGGATTTAGTGGGCTGTAAAAATACAAAACATTAAATAGAGTGTCATGCCAGTAAATTTGAAAAATTAGGTGAAACAAATTTCTTGAAAAATGTAGCTTATTAAAAGTAACTACAGAAGAAACAGAAAACCTTAACTAAGCCTATAACTATTTAAAAAATCGAAGCAGTAATTAAAAATTTTTGGACACAGATGGCTTCGTTGTTAAATCCCACCTATTTTACCCAGATACTTCCTCGGAATAAAACAGGGAACACGCCCTAATTCATTTCTGAGGCTATCACAACATTGTTACTAAAACCCGACAGGTAGTGTAATCAGAAGTGTTTCTCGCCCATGAGGACAAATAAGTTACAACCTTTGACTTGCTACTGTCAAGAACTGTAGTTCAAGCTTAGGTGATAAACTGTTGTTGTTTTAAAAATTTGTATTTATTGATTTGGGGGGTGGGGGGACACTGACTTGTTCCACCTGTCCACGCATTCATTGGTTGACCCTTGCATGTGCCCCGACTGGGGATCAAACCCTCAACCTTGGCATATTGGGAGGGTGCGCTAACCAACGGAGCTACCCAGCCAGGGCCGATTAACGGTTTTTTTACTTACGGAATTATTTGGAGTGACATTGGTTAGTAAACTTATGTTGGATTCAGGTGTACAGTCCTATATAACACGTCCCCTGTGCACTGTATTGTATGTTCGCCACCCAAAGTCAAGTCTCCTTCCATCACCACTTGTCTCCCCTTTACCCTATTCTACCCCCCACCCCCTTCTATGAGGTGGGTTTAACCTGGCATAATCCCTTCGACTTTTTCACCAAACCTCCAACCCCCCTCCTCTTTTAACAGCTGTCAGTCTGTTCTCTGTATCTATGAGTCTGTTTCTATTCTGTTTTAGTTTACTTTGTTCTTTAGATTCCACATGTAAGTGAAATCACGTGGTACTTGTCTTTCCCTGACTGCCCTATTTCAGTTGGCGTGATAAACTGTTTTGACTCACAAAATGTGAGTGAAGAATATTGAGTGTGTGTGTTATTGTGTATTAACTTAATTGACCTATACAGTTTCTTGAGTGGATTAAAATTCGTGTTTTTGAAGGTGTGATTGTATCAATGAGGGCTCTTTCTGATGTAACTGAACCTTCACTGTTACAAGTAAAAAGGGGATTTGTTGATTCCCTAATTGAAGAATCTAAGGTGGGTCTGGCCGCAGGAGGCCAGTTTCTTCCCCAGGAGCCTCCATGCTGCAATATTCTCACAGAGGCTCCTCAGTCCTGGTTGCTGGATCTACGTGCTCATGTTCAGGTTCTCTGGGAGAGGAGGAAGGAAAGACTTTACTAATTTTGAGTTGGGTGTGTGTTCATGGAGATGAGCTGCTAACTGTGGCCAGGGATCAGGATGCTCTTATTGGCCTGGGGGTTGGAGTCCGTGTCTGCAGCTGGTGAACTGAGAGTGGGCGTTACAGCTGGCGAGAAACCGGGCTGCAGTGACCACTGGGAAAGTGAAAGAAGGTTTGGTTGCAAAATTAGATCTCCGTTGTAGCAGTGGTCAGATGTAAAATTTCATGAATTCTTTATTCAAAATAATTGTAGAATTCTACATAAGAAAGAATCCTTAGCCCAGCTGGCGAGATTCAGTGGTTGAGCATCGACCCATGAACCAGGAGGTCACGGTTCAATTCCAGGTCAGGGCACTTAACGAGGTTTCCGGCTCAATCCCCAGTAGGGGGCGTGCAGGAGGCAGCCCATCAATGACTCTCTCATCATTGTTTCTATCTCTTCCTTCCTCTCTCTTAAATCAACAAAAACATATTTTTTTAAAAATTTGATCTTTAATGAAAGAAAGAATCCTTAGGCTACCACTACACAGTCATTCAGTTAGCAAGAATGAAAAAGCCTGACAAGCCTGTTGAAAAAGTAAAACACCAGAAACTCATCCCTTCTGCTGGGAGTGTGAATTGTTGCAGCTGCTTTGGGAAACAGTTTGGCTCTAAGCAGCAAAGCTGAGACTCACCCAGTAATCCAGCACTCACAGGTGCAGCTGTGCACGCCAGAGAACTGCAGGCTTCAGACACTGCACCAGGAGGGTCTTACGGTGCTTGTATTTCTCCACGGCAGGGGGCAGGGGAGTGGACAAGGGAATTACGGTTTATTTACACAGTGGAATATTACACAGCAGTGAAAATAAACGATAGGCACAGCAACAAGAGTAGAAGGGGAAAGCAAGACAAAGAAATGCAGACAGTGCAGTTTGTTCATATGTAATTCAGAAGCTGGCAAAAATAAACTGTCAGTTAGGGCTGCACACCTGGGTGATGGATCTGAAGAAAGGCAAGGAAATGATATCCATCAAGGTCAGGGCAGTTGTTACTTACGGGAGGAGAGAGTTCAGGGTCAAAGAGAAGTGCCCGTCCTTTTGGGGTTTCAGCTGTGCTCCATTACTTGGCCTGGGTGGCAGATGGACTAGTGTGTGTGTGATAACTTTATGGAAATGTACATATTTCCTATGCTTTTCTATGTTTCTGTAATACTTCATTACAAACGTGATTTTAAAATAAAAATAATCTGAAGATAGTCAGACTTGGTTATTTGCGTCCAACTTAAAAAATGTGGAAAACCCAAAGCACATGTTTCTATAGAGTGGTTAACACATTTTCTTTTGTTTTTTAATTTATTGATTTTTAGAGAGAGAGGAAGGAGGGCGGGAAGAGAGAGAAACATCAATCTGTTGTTCCACTTATTTATGCATTTATTGGTTGAATCTTGTATGTGCCCTGACTGGGGATTGAGCCCACAACCTTGGTGTATCTAGATGACGCTCTAACCAACTGAGCTACCCAGCCAGGGCAAATTCAGCTTTTTTTTTTTTTTTTTAAACATATTTTTA